GAACAGGATGCTGAGGAGAACATTTGGACCGAAAAAGGATGCAATACTAGGACGCTCGATAAAGTTGCATGAGGAGCTTCATAAGTTGTACTTTTCGCCAAATATAATTAGACTGATTAAGTCAAGGAGGGTAAGATGGGCAGGGTATGTAGCCCGCACAGGAGAGAAGAGGAATGCATACAAAATTTTGGTCAGCAAACCAGAAGGAAAGAGACTAATAGGAAGACCGAGACGTAGGTAGGAGGATAATATTAAAATGAATGTTGGAGAAACACGATGGAGTGGAATAGACCAGATTAATCTGGCTCAGAATACGTACCAGTGGCGGGCTCTTGCGAACATGGTAATGAACCTTAAAATATTGGGAATTTCTTGAGTGGCTGAGGGACTGTTAGCTTCTCAGGAAGGACTCGGTACAGAAAGTAATTGAGTAAGTGAGCAAAATAATTTTGCAGAGCATAGTAGGAGCCTTGAAAGATCCAATGAAAAAATCTGGCAACGCAGCTTACCCTTTTACTACTGCAACTTTCGTCCTGTAGAAGGACGGGAAGGGGGAGATTCAGCGAGTCGTCGGCCCAGCTGCCAATCCTCAAATGAAGATTTGGCAACAGCGCTACATTCTTCCGTCCGCAGCTGCGCTTGCTACGTCAAACTCTGGCAAGACTAGTGCAACCCTCAACCAGCATTAAGTTTCATTAAAGAAACATTTCTTTGCAAAATTTGTTTGTTTACATATAAATGTGTGATTTCAACTCGGCCTCTCTGTGTCCACTACATTCGGTAGGACCCCGTTCCAATCTCGTCCCGGCTGTCGGTAATCTTGATAGATTTTTCACCTGAAGACGGAAGCAGAATCAGCTTCCGAAACGTTTTAATTTTACATTTTAGACAACGGATAAAGTCCAAGAGAAATGTTTTACAGACTGTGACGCACCGCTGTCAGTATCCTCAGACTTAAAAATATTAATGTTTTCCGTTAGTCACTTCTCGGGTTCAAATCTCTTCCCAGAGACCGGCGATCCGGTTTTCTTTAAAGCATAGTCTTCAGTCCCTCGAGACAAATACGACCGCTTCCTTCCATATCCTTTCCCAATCATTATTCATTATCGTCCAGCGGTTCATAGTCTGAACTGCTGATTGCGTCAGGAAAGAAAAACCCACCAAAACAAATGGCAATAAGACGAATAAGAACGGCAGCGAAAAATCGGGAATCAATAGAACGTGAACAAATAATATCCGGAGAAGTCTCCACCCACAACCCCTGCAAAATTAGACCCTCAAGAAATTCCCAAAAGTTTCCATCGAGTCAGCTACGAAAATATTGCTTAGGAGAGTCGCGTCTTATGTTTAAATAAATAAGTAAATCTTAAATTAATAAGTTATATCACAGTCCAACTCGTCTGTAAAACAAACATTTATTAAAGTTAAGAAATCCTTTACCGCACGATGTTTAATTTAAAAAGTAAACTCCTACAAAACTCACAAATTAAAAAAATAATTAAATACACGGAGCATAGTCATTCTTCGGAAACTGCGTGTCGCCCAGAAGTTTAAAACATCCCTTTCCTTTTGCAAAAGCCGAAAATTAATTATTTTGTTCAGAACAGATCACCAAGTCTCAGGTTTGTTGTAGCGTTTTGTAACGACGAACATTTTAATATGAGACTTTCTCAGCTGCCCACACACAATCCTCAAGAATGAGAAACATACCTTAAGGCCGTTCACACACGTTCTCATCCCAAAGACGTGTATTTAGTTACCGTTTGTACCATCATGAAGCACTATTTGTGTTTATACTCGGGGAACATAGAAAATATAATTCATGGTCTTCTTACGGATCGTCCCAAATTGAAAATAACATCGGAAAATTGTTCACGTAAATATTTTCACAGCAAACTTCATTCACACGAACGTCGTTGTACGGTTGTAAGTATTCGTTTGTAATCCGGAAAAACAGACTCTGGATCTCCATCTGGGGGCCTTTAATCCTCCCTAACGTTATTCATGATTTTACTCAGTGCCTACTTGCAAATTCTGGCGCAACACTTTGAAGTACTGATCCTGGCATTCAATGTTATATGCAAAACATCCTTAAATAAAGCAAGACAAGTATCCATTAAGAGATTTCAGATTTTAAACAGGGTGGGGCATAAATAGAACCACTTCCGCTTTGAAAAGCTCTCCACTCTGCCCTTAAAGCTCACAAGTGACTCTTCAGTATCGGTTAGATAACAGAAAAATCAGTTTCAGAAAAGTTCAAGATCCACAGTAAATCAAATCAGCTATTAATAACTCTATCCTGAATAAGACGTGGAAATATCGAACTCTCTTAAAATTCTGTTCCAGGCTTTACGACGAACGAATGACTGAAACTTCCGGAAATTGAAATGACCACATCCGCTCACATGTTGACGTCACACGCCTAATGGACCAGCAAATAGCAGCAAATCCAATTATCAGAGGTCAACTTGTGCCCACGATATTAAATTATCTTTTCAGCTTCGTCAAAATGGAGAACATCCATTTGCAAAATGCATCTGAACAAAATTGTGCGTACAATAATTTGAAATTAGCCGCATTCACGGGGACATTCAACAGTAAGTACCGACAGGGACTTCATTTAAGTACATGTTAGAAGTGTCGCAAAATCCCTCATATCCCAAGCGGTTTTTACATCGTCGTGGTACAGAAGAGAGAGGCCAATGGTAGAGTCTCGTGAAGACTGCAATGAACGAGTTTTAAGGGACGCATCCTGTTCTGTGTCAAACTTCCGGTTGACAATCCACCTACAGTGCAATGCTTACTTATTACAGTTTTAATGCTTATTAAGAATCCACTACATGTTTCGACCTATGCAACAAACAACAATCCAAGATGGAAAATAATGATCAAACTACAAGTTTCCACGGGTAACTAAACCTACATAGCCCGGTATACTAAAGCAGGTTAGCTGCTTAAGACACAATCCATTATATGGCGAAGTCAATAACACAAAATGTATACAAATCAGCAGTCACATCTACGAGGCGCGTCCCAAAAGTAAGTTTCCCACTCGTCCCACAGCTAGCAAACCTTATATTGCGCGAAGCGACTGTGCGTACGTGATAGAGCAATGACGTAGCATGGCGCATGCACTAACGGCACCTCCCGCGTTCTCACAGTAGCATCGTTGCAGCTGTTGAAGATGGAGGTTCTTATTCCAGCCCCCGCCGACTGTGAAGTGCGGTCAGTGATAACGCTAGGCCGCACACGGCTCAACGGACAGCAAGTCTCCTGCAGGAGTTCAGCTGGGAGGTGTTTAATCATTCACCCTACAGCCCGGACCTCGCTCCCAGTGATTTCCATCTTTTCCTACACCTCAAGAAATTCCTGTCCGGTCAGCGTCAGCGTCAGCGTTTTGAGAATGACAGAGAGGCGGAGATGGCTGTCACACAGTGGTTCCAATCCCAGGCGGCAGACTTCTACGACACAGGTATTCAAAAGTTGGTCCCACGGTATGACAAATGTCTCAATTCCGGTGGCGAATATGTTGAAAAATAGCTGGACACTTGCTGTATCTGTTGCAATAAATATTTCCATGAAATTGTGTTTTGTTTCTGTAAACGGCCCCAGGGAAACTTACTTTGTAGACCAGCCTCGTATTACTTTAGAAAACTTATAGAGGACCACTCGTTACACTGCTGCACCAAAACCCGTCGCGGCCAATGGTAGATCTCCGAGGCAGTGGCGTACATGCAACAAACAACAACGTCAAAAGCGGTCGTCAATCGAACCCACGCTCAGAACTGGGATCGTTCCAAGATGGAAAATAATGAACCACGCTCTGCTACCATTTGATCCGCTCTCCCCAACCTCAACCGCAGTCGAAATGGGAAGGAGGTGTCAGTTCTACATGTCGTAGGTTCGGTTGGCCCACGCCCCAGACAATAATGTACTCAAACGCACAGATATCCAATATGCAATAAATTTAATTACTCAAAACAAACGCCACATCAATACAGTACTTAATATGAATGCCAAATATATATTACTTGGGCCATTGATAACACAAAACTATTACCAACAAAGATCTTGATTTAAAAAAATATAAGTTGATACAATAGCGTCATATTGTGAATTAAAATTTAATTATTCGTGGGTTTTTTCCGTCTAATCACAATTGTATATAAATAAAATTATACATAAGATATTAAAATAAAATAACTTTTAACTTTACACCTGAAGATGGTTCAATGTAACCGAAACATGTAGTAAAAAGTTGTACCAAATATGTAAACGATATTTTAATATCTTATGTATAATTTTATTTATATACAATTGTGATTAGACGGGGGAAAAAACACGAATAATTAAAAAAATATGTAAATACAATCAAAGCAATCAAGATAAAAATATCTAATACAATCGAGGTCCACACAACAGCCTCACTATAGGTAATACCCCTACGTCTCCCTCGGCTGGGACCACCCCGAGGGACCAGAAATATCAACCACATAGTAGTGCCCCGTCAACAAAACAACAGGACGGGCAACTACTACAACAAAATACAATACCACCTAATGTCACCTCACAGGGCGTACCCAGCCGGAGAGACGTGGTCGACCGACCTGCAGCTACAGACCAGCTGAGAGAGATTGTCTGACTGAAAACCTTCTGTGTTCTGGCTACATCCGTTGGCAACTTTTTAGGTTGTAAGATTTCAGGTTGTTTTATCGTTTTGTATGTTGGGCAGTCTGTGCGAGTGTATTTTCAGTGGCTGTGGTGGATAGCTCAGTCAGTATAGTGACTAGCTACGGGCTGGACGGCCGAGGTTCGATCCCCGACGGGGGCAGAGGATTTTTCCTCTAGCCTCTGCGTCAAGACTGGCTCTGGGGCCCACCCAGCCTCCTCTACAATGGGTACCGGGGTCCTTTCCCGGGGGTAAAGCCGGCCGGGGCGTGATGCTGACCACTCACCCCCATCTAGTGCCGAGGTCAAGGAAGAGAGGAGCTATACCTCCACTCCCCCCAAACGCCTACATGGCGTATAGTGGGACAAACTTTTACTTTTGTTATGGTTGTACGACAAGTTCGTGTTTCAGGTGTATTTTCAGTGGCTGTGGTGGATAGCTCAGTCAGTATAGTGACTAGCTACGGGCTGGACGGCCGAGGTTCGATCCCCGACGGGGGCAGAGGATTTTTCCTCTAGCCTCTGCGTCAAGACTGGCTCTGGGGCCCACCCAGCCTCCTCTACAATGGGTACCGGGGTCCTTTCCCGGGGGTAAAGCCGGCCGGGGCGTGATGCTGACCACTCACCCCCATCTAGTGCCGAGGTCAAGGAAGAGAGGAGCTATACCTCCACTCCCCCCAAACGCCTACATGGCGTATAGTGGGACAAACTTTTACTTTTGTTATGGTTGTACGACAAGTTCGTGTTTCAGTGATTGTGTAATCTGCTTTATTAAGTGAGTGTGATAGGTTGTTACAAATATTTAAAATTTATGCTGGGCTCAATTTGAACTAGTGAATTTTCTGCTGCATCAACAAGGAATACCATGTCTACAACAGCAGGAGATGAAGACTCAAGTGTTCGAGTGGCTGTCAGGATCAGACCGCAGATAGCACGAGAACTGATCGACGTGTGTCGGATTTGAACCAGTGTTACGCCAGGCGAGCACCAGGTGACTCTGGGCTCGGACAAGGTCTTCACATACGATTATGTCTTTGACACAAATGCCTATCAAGAGGATGTGTACACAACCTGTGTAGAAACTCTTGTGAATGGATCTCTTGAAGATTACAATGCAACTGTTTTGGCGTATGGACAGACAGGATCTGAAAAAACGTATACTCTGGGCACTGGATTTGATGTGGAAGTTCAGTCGGAGCAGGTTGGAATCGTCCCACGGGCGATACGTCACCTCTTCCATGGAATTCAGGACCGTGCAAACCAGGCTCAGGAATCTGGTCAGCCGGCGCCAGAATTCAAAATAGTCGCACAGTTTATGGAACTCTATAATTTGATCCTTCAAGGGGACAATATGCGGAGAACGGTGGAATTAAAATCCACGAAGATGCTTCGGGAGGCATTTATGTAATGGGAGTAACTATGAAGCCCATCATGTCGGCTGAGGATGCTCTTCAGTGCTTGCGCATGGGAGCACTCTCGAGGACAACGGCCAGCACCCAGATGAATTCTCAGTCTTCACGCTCACATGCAATATTCACACTTCACATTAAACAACAACGGATGGTGAAAGTGGAAAATGTAGATAATTGGGAGTGTGTGGTAGCAACTGATCCATCTAGTGAGTTTGAAACCCTTACAGCCAAATTCCATTTTGTTGACCTAGCAGGGTCAGAACCCCTGAAGAGGACTGGAGCTACTGGTGAACGTGCAAAATATGATATCTCAATAAACTGTGGTCTCTTGGCTTTGGGAAATGTGATATCAGCTCTCGGTGACAAGTCAATAAAGGCACTTCATGTGCCGTACAGAGATTCAAAGCTTACAAGGTTGCTTCAGGACTCACTTGGAGGTAACAGCCGAACAATAATGATAGCATGTGTGTCATCCAGTGATCCTGACTTCATGGAAACACTGAATACTCTCAAATATGCTAACAGGGCACGAAATATCAAGAACAGGGTTACCATAAATCATGATAAATCATCTCGGACCATCGTTCTCTTACGACAAGAGATAACAGCAGTTCCAGCTGGAACTGCTGGAATACAACCGGGGCAAAAGTGTGCTCGGCGAAGATGACGTTGAGACTGTAAATGACATGTTTCACGAAAATACTATGCTGCAGACAGAAAATAACAATCTGCGAACTACAGTAAACGCCATGTAAGAAACAATGGATGTGCTCAGCAGTAAGAACACCCACCTTCTGGCTGAAAGGGCTGTTGGTGGCTGGATACAAGCAGGTAGTGACTCAGATGTAACAGAGATGATAGAAGGCTACTTGAAAGAGATTGAAGAGCTTCGTGCCAAACTCCTAGATTCATAAGCCATGTGTCAGCAGCTGGAGATGGTGTCTTCGTGTCTTCCTGCACGAGTCCCACTTAGTCCTCATGTGGCCATGACAGGCGGCAGAGCCACACGAGAGCCCGATTCTTCACCCCGACTAAAAGAACCCTGTCGAGATACCTCATCTTCCACCGAAATGCGTCCGTGTTTCACGAAGTCCTATGCTTGCCCTGTTTAACAAAGACTGACACGCGCTCACGTAACTCACGAATGCCCCATTCGTTACACTGCTGCACCAAAACAGGTCGCGACCAGTGGTAGATCTCCGAGGCAGTACAACGTCTGAAGTACACTGCAATCAAAAGCGGTCGTCAAGCGAACCCACGCTCAGAACTGGGATCGTTCCAAGATGGAAAATAATGAACCACGCTGTGCTACAATTTGATCCGCTCTCCCCAACCTCAACCGCAGTCGAAATGGGAAGGAGGTGTCAGTTCTATATGTCGTAGGTTCGCTTGGCTCACGCCCCAGACAATAATGTACTCAAAACACAATAAGATACAATTAACAATAAACCAATTTAATTTCTTAACACAAATGTCAAACATGCACACTACCACTAGCCATTGATAAAACAATTACAAAACAGAAGGCTCTTAATTAAAACATATTAACACAATCAAGGCCCCACAATACGGTGCCCTCTCGGCAGTACACCCTACGTCTCCCTCGGCCTGGACAACCCCGAGGGACCCAAAATATCTCAACAAATCAGTAGCGGCCTCCGTCCTCCAACAAACAATTCAATAACAAATAGGACGGGCAACTACCACAATAAAACACTTACAATCTGATGTCATCTCGCAGGGCGTGCCTAGCCGGAGAGACGTTGCCGACCGACCTGTAGCTACAGACAACAAGAGACAGAGAGTCTAACTCCTTTCTTCTGTGTTCTGGCGAGCAAGCTTGGTCCGCACCAGTTCCCCTCCAATGAGCTTAACTTCCCCGCACGCATGCGCACAGTCTGCCGTCTGACACACCAGAGCCAGCTGTAGCTTGGCTCATGTGCAGCATTTACTCCAAAATTGAGAACACACATTTTACAAAACAAAATATTCTGTGTTTCTTGATGTTCGTTTGTTTCAGATAAATATACATCATTACAGATTTACTCGCATTGCAGTTATCCCACTGCATACGAATAAATTATGATCCCGTAAGTTTATTTATAATCAAAAACTATAAAAAAATATTTAAAAGTTTATTTTATAAAACTTAATGGATATGTATATTTTACGTGCCTGCTCCAAATTTTCTACGATCAGTCACCTTTTAAAAAGGGAACAAAGATCAAGTTGAGATTCTCGAAAATCAGGAAAGGAAATGGCCCAGAACTTAAATTTGTTACACAGCTTTTAGCATTTCTCCCTAGTGCCAAATTTTATCGAAGTCTGTTGATTAATATTAATACTAAATATTTAAATTTTTGCCAGCTTTATAATTTAACATGTAAAAATTCCACGTGGCTCGCTGTGTAAACTTTACATTCTACAAAAGAAAAACTCACCTTAGGGAATACATGGTTGCTCTTGCAAAGTTTATTAACACACAAACGTCCGTAGCTATTCATTAAGTGGTTGTAGCTCTCATAAGGTTACATTGTTCATGGAAGACAATTACGAGCAAGAAGGTAGCATGGCTTCTAGCGGTATGGTGTTTGTACCTGGTTTTATTCCTAACATTATTGATTCCAAATTTATTATAAGGGACACAAAGAAACATATTTCCTTATAAAACTATGAAAACAGGACGAAAAGAAGCAATGCTTCCCTGTATCCCAATAACCCCCGACGTACAGATTCCCTGTCTATCCGCAATTCCGGGATTACTTTTAATTACGTACGTAAGCTTGGGGTCCCGGGTTCAATTCCCGGTGGTGCTCAAATTTATAACTTGTGTTGGGCAAGGCCGTGGGCTAGGCATCACGGAGTTTTCCTCCGGGGGCTTCCCCGGTTTCTCCGTGGCATCCCAACAATTACTCCACTCACACACAGAAGAAGGCAATGGCAAACCACTTCTGATCATCTCTGCCAAGAATGTATATATGTATGAGCAGGTCCCTGACAACCTGAAGAGGTTGGAAGGATCCTGTTCATAATATATGGACCTGTCGTCAGACAGAACACTACAAATAAATAAAACGTACGTGGCGAGCACAGATTGAATAATAAGTAATCTAACAATCTCTGCTCTTCATTTGGTAATATTTTAGTAACTAAATCAAAAAGTACGAGATTGGTGGCACATGTAGGACGCATGTTAAAAGCAATAAATACATTAAAAGCTTTGGTTTAAAAACTTTGATAGATGAAAAACGTAATTTAACCAAGCGGTTATTATCGCTCAGCACCAACTACAATTAATCCAAGACCTGTTCCCTTCCAATTCATTATTCTTTAAGTATCTCGTCATTCCAGGCTGAAGATTGTGTGCTGTAGATGGCATCGTTAAATAAAGAAGTTTCATTAACATATTAAGCAGCATGTAAGATTATACTTTTATGTTCGCTCATAGCTGTGTTTTTTTTTTTAGAAATGGTATTAAAAGTAAAATATTCAGTGTTCTGCACGAAACGACGTAGCATAATTTTTTGGGATTTACCATGGGATCACGGTCTGGCTGTTACCACACAGTACAGTTATACCAACTGTTGGACATCCGGGTCAGAAATTCTTTTCACATCATCACACAAACTACTTAAGTATAAGAGAGCTCACGTATTTCATTCTCATTTGAATACACAGCCAAATTTTTATCACCTCTTAAGCGTAATATGGCAAAGGACAAATGCGAACAGACAAGCCAAAAGCCCATTTTTCCTTGTGTTAAAAACGCGGTGTTTTTCTCGGTTGCTTCTAATATTTCCTGGACCCTGATCCAGCACGTCATGGCCTGGAAATACATCAAAAGGATTTATGTGCAATGCCGCTCGTGCATCCATCATACGACGAGACACATTTCGGTGCTGCAGAATGCGTTGTTTTAGGCTGCAAATGTTTGACTAAGAGGTCACAGGTGGATTAATCAAATGTGGTGCAACAGAAACGGAGGGGAGAGAACGAGGCAAGGAGGGGATGAAGGGAGGAAGAAGGCGAAAATTATCAAAGGAAAATAAGTAATAATTAAAAATCAAACAAATAAAGAACCACGGTGAAAAAATAGGCTAGATGACTGTTACATACATTTTTTCAGAATTCTGATATTTTGTGTTGGTCCCTCATTTACGCTAGATTTACAAAACTTTATAAGCATCTGCTAGAATCAAGCATCTAACCACCGTGGTCCTGTTCCCCATCACTGTGTACGTCTTTATCTACACATTAACTTTATGATAAATACAAGAAAAAATTATTAAATTTGGCTTCATTAAGTTTTGCTAATTTATTTTCCCGGGGGATTAAGCGCGGACTGGGCGTGATGCTGACCACTCACCCCCATCTAGTGCCAAGGTCAAGAAGGAGTTGGAGCTATACCTTCACCCTCCCCCAAGTGTCTACATGGCGTGTAGCGAGATGGCTTTACATTACTTTAATTTATGAAAGTATTGTATGTTTTTAGAACAAATTAAATTCTAACTAAGTGACTGGAAGACATTCGTTTCAAACAGGCTACCGTTTTAACACACGTGACTTACTTAGATATAAAATAAATACAGCACAAAACGCATATTGTGTGTATAAACACTTCCCAAGCGGTACACATGTTCAGTTTCTGCGTCTATTCCTGGCGATTTAACAGTTTTTTATTAATGTCCGGGCTTAATTACATACATTTATGACAGACACGTTCCTTTTCGGGTAGACATAAATTACAGCGAAGAGCAGGACAGAGAAACATTACATGCACGAGATATAAGTGTGCATGCAAACTGCTACTTCCGTCTGCCGCGTTAAAAAGTTTTTATTAATTGGAAGTAATTTTACATTACGTGAAATTTCAGTTTCTCACGGGCAGTTGCATTAGTGCGCCGTGTAATCTGGCAGAAGAGTGCCAACATTACACAGTTGCGTTCTTCATCCATCCCATGAGCCATCGCCCTGACGATGGAGGCAGCACACACCTACGAAACTTCTACCAGATTATACATGGTGCAGCAGCCGAGGACTACAGCTAAAAATTAAAAATTTATTCTCTGTAGTCATAAATTTTCCGATAAAAATTCAGTCTACGTTTAATTGAAGTTTTAATATTATCCTCGCATCTACTCCCACGTTTCCCAATAGTTTCTAGTCTACTTTTGTATAGACTAAAATTCTGTAGCTGAAAAAGTGTCGTTAAATAAATTAAGAGACGCGCTATTCACGCTCTCGTTTCGTTAAGCCACGCTGAGGGCCGAGTTTGAGCAGTTAGCTGAAATTCATTCTTGATCCAGAGGCCCTGGTTTAATCTTGAGCCTCCCTAACTCAAGTCTCAAGTTGCTCGTGGCACTGCGATCGCTTGGCGTTATTCAATTATTCGCCGAAGAGCAACTTGAGGGCCCACAGACCCAAAACTCTTTCTTTAACAACGGATCCACTTTACAGTAGCTGCTCCTTCAGTATTTATAATCTCGTGGTAAGAAATTCGTGGCGCACGAAAGGATTCTGTCCAATTTATAACAAATTCTAACGAACTACATGGGGAAGAGTCCTTCGTTAATGCCGAGTGTCCTACGTCTCGTGAAGAATTTCGCTGCCGCGTTTTACAGAACGCGAATGTTCATTACGATGTTCAGAACAGCCGAATCCAAGTCAGATTAACCCAGACCACATTCATTTAACCTATTTCGCCTATTCATTTAACAAAAACATTTTAATATTATCGCCTTTCACTACTTCTCCAAAGAAGTATCTTCCCTTCTGTTTTTCGATTACAATGTGTTATCCCACGTTAAAAGTAATAAATAAATAAGCCTATAATAAAAGGCGTACACACGAAAATGTCGTTGCTTTAAATACGTCGGATAACAATAACAAATTAAAAGTTCTCTGGAAAAAAAAATTGTAACACGAACATGCAATAGGGAGCGTAAGGTCTATGTTATGTTCGAATGGATTCAGATAAAATTTGGTAACATGCTATGCACCACATTTTGTGTCGGGAGCCTTATTTTTAACTTTAATGATCAGATACATCCACCACTTCAAATGACGCTCAGAAAAGAAAAATGTTTAATAGTCTTGATACAACAAACAAGAAAATAAAGTAGCTCCTCTACTCGCGGCGAGGCACTTGGGGGGAGAGACGATATAGATCCTACTGATTCTTGACATCGGCACTAGATGGGGTGAATGGTCAGCATCACGCCCCG